ACTGCACGTGATAAACCCGCCGATGAAGTATTTTCTATGGGATTTATATTAAGCCGATGAATTCGGATAGGCGCAGCACTTCTGTTGATTAGTGTAACAAACCGTCTAGAACGTTGATTAGGTTGTAAGCTGCCGAGTTGAAAGGGTTTCTTTCTGACTTCCGAATCGGAGACGGTTATGATTTGTTCCACTCGATCCTGTCCCATCGAGTTGATACGTATAATAGTCAACGGACCAGGCTTACTGTGCATCACTACATCAGTACCCTCACCGCGAATCATAATAGCATGTTGTATGGAACCGTTCACCTCATATACAAATTCCTGCTCGTACGGTTGGCATGCTTGTGGTGTGAAAGTGACTTCCACACGAACTGTATCTGATCTTGAACCATTCATTGAGTTAATGGATCGTGGTTGAAGCACGGTGGGTTCCAAAGACTGTTGGAATACACCGTCGTTCGGAGTAAGACAGTCTATACTGGCAGATTGCTTTGAGTCTGTGTTGCTAAGAACGAGGTATCGTTTAGCGCTAGTCAAACCTCTTGAAGACAGTAGTTGCGGACCGAAATCGATAACTTGAGAGGAAAAGTGAACAGGCTGTCCAGAAGTAGACCCGACTAGGATGAACCCGTAAACGGGCCCCTCGCGAACAGCTAGAAGGCAGGCTATGGAGAGATCGGCCAATTTGATACGACTTCCAGGAAATAGACTAATTTTCTTGGGTGGAGCAAAAACTACACTGCACTCAACGTTTTCTCCAGGTGCAATAGTACTCGTGGCAGGATTTAGGCGTAACACAGGTTCAGAACCAGGTTGATTGGAACCATTGATCAAACGATCAGTCAACCGCGTCAATACGACGGAATCGTTACACAAAGATATCAAGCGCGAAGAAAAATCACAGCAGAATTTTCCTGTGTTTAGTATGGTAAGTTTTCTGCTGATACATTCGCCAGGTTGAACGACACCAAAGTCGAGCGAATACAGGTCCGCGTGGTATTTAGTTTGTTCCTTGAAACGGCAAATAGCGCCATCTATATAGTGAAGTGGATCGACCGTACCACTGCACGGAGTCCATAGCGGACTCAGTTCCAGATTCCGTACTCCCTCGTCGGTACTTTCGATCCACGTCGAGGCTTTCACAGCAAAACCTTCCGCTTTGACATTCAGCGTTAGTGGAAATTGGCGATGCTGAATTTGACAAACTAGATTGATATTCAGGGCTCTTTCCGCCTTGGCCGTGAACGAAATTTTGATAGGGAACCTAAAACGGGTTACAAACTGAATAATATAATTTCAGGCGGTGAGCGTATAAAATGAAATTATACAACGATACCACACTTGGTTTTCACAAACCATTTATTCTAAAAGACTGTAAATATTGCGTTATAAAATGAATCTTAAAAAAACTATCTTTTCACTAAGTCCAATGCTAGGGGAAGTGGATTTGTCCACAGAAAGCATTACGCAGTTGAATCCGCCAAATATAGTAACCGACCTTAGTCCTCTTCCTATTGACATTGCTACTTTTGTTCAGCCTTCATTCTGTTACAGGTTGAATTTTAAAGAATTATGGTCATACAAGAGTTTTTTTCGAACTGCTTAGGCAAAATGTATGTAATCCGAAGAGCAAGAAAGAAAGTGTTTAGCTGTTTTTCATCAATCGCTATGTTAAATGACCCGTCAAACAAAAGGAATAAAAATCTCAGGGTTTCAATCGTTACAGAATGAGAAATCCTGTCCCTGGATGAGTTTCCGATCCATTTCGACTGTAATGGTTAAATAAACTATATCCGCGATTTGGTATTCTATCCATTGGGTTGGTATAATATCGCATAAAGAATAGCCTGTACAACTTGGCAATTAGAACACGTTCTTTCGCTAATATGAACTTTTTCATTAACTTGGACTGTTTTATGTCCCCGCCCTTGTACCGATATTTTTTCGTTCACCCATGGTTATTTTGGCGCCGTACCTGTAAAGATTGGTGTTATATATATATAATGTTCACTGCTGGGGCAAATCAGGCGTAATCTGTTGCTAAAGTATATTTACTTCGATGAAAAATAAGGATTTATTTCAACATCTCAGAGTTTTCTATCTTAAAAGGATTCTTCACTCAATAAGAATGTGTGCATGCACGCTTGACTACATGTCTGTATGGTGCTAAGTGCATAGGTTGAGGTTGTTACTCAGTTCGACTTCAAGTAGTCTGTAGACATGTCTATGGTTAAGGCTCAACCAAAAGTGCATCACATAGCAAAGCGGAATCAGTAGCCAAAGTCAAAATGGTTAAAGATGATCAAGACCATCGCCAACAGGTAATCTGAGGACTACTGATACTGTGAATAAGAATAAGTAGTTCGTTTTTCTTACCGACTGTTTGGTTCAATCACACCTGACATAGGCTCAACTGTCAAGGAATCCTGTCGACCAATACTATATCGACTGGATTCGACGAATTTGAATGTCAGTGCGCGCGTAGATTCTTCTGTCGATGGATTGTATCTTTCCTGGTTTACCAAATAAACAGTTTCACTCAAAGTGTACCCCACCAAAACGGGATGGAGTTTGACGTGCGAACGATCGAACACAACAAGTGGCTCGCGTGTGCTGCAAACAACCAACAAGGGTAGACTAATATCCAAGTCGTTTACCAGCAGGCGCCAGAACGATTCCACCAAACCGAGACCGGTTGAGGTGAATTCAAGGGTAACCTATTCAAAATAAAATAAATCAGAGATTATACATTAACTCGTTTCACACTGTCAAATTAATTATCAACCATTTCATCCCGCAATTAGTTGGACAGAAGGAATGGTTATCTAACTCATTGATTGATGTCAAAATTTCATGGGTAAATATGCAACACAATCTCGTGATAAACAAGGCATTTACTGATCAATAGAAAGACAAGCATCGGAATTTATCGAACCGCAAATTGACGTTTAAATTATAACAATTTTAGACAATATAAATGGCAAGCTTTTTAACTATATTTCTTTAACTTTAAGGCACGTACTACGGGAAAAACAGAACAAATAGAACAGCTTGCTACCCAAAAAATTTGATTTCCGCCAATGAAACCAACCGGAATGTGATGTTCAAAACCGAGCAGAAGGCATGCTGGGGATTCATTAGTGAGAGAACTTGAAGCGTCATCCTTTCGTTCACCTGCATGCCAGGTAAGAAACGTATTTCATCGCAGCTTAGTCATTTTTAATGCATGAATGATAGCAGTAGTTGTTATGTATCTAAAAGAAACGAGCACTACTCATTATAGAGGAGAGATATTTTTGGATCTTTGAACCATTGTTAGAAAGTCAAGATAAGGATTCAAAAATTAGTTAAACTACATTGCGTATTATAGCAATTGCTTAACTAGGGTATGTTTTACACATGTGACCTATGTTTGCTGGGGAGCGTTGTGATAAAAAAGGATCTAGGTTGATCAAATCCAGTTGACAATCGGTTTGTTCTGAACGATAACTGCAGGTAGCTCTTAAGCACCGTGCATGTTTAAAAAAATTGTTTAATCCGTAATCATCTCTATTCAAGAAGTAAGAGTGTGCAGTGCAGAAGAATGAACAATCGCGCTAATGTGAGAAGTGTATCGGTTCAACACAAAAGCCTTAATTGGTGCATCTATGGTTGCAAACACAGGTACAATCTTTCCGTAATTAAACCCAGTACCAAAAGGGAAAACAGTAGACAGTCATGACGGCAAGTAAAATGCTTATTGCCGTGCAACTTTCGAGGCAGAGAATATCGAAATAAATGCCAACATATATTATATCGACTAAAGAAATAAAACTTCGTTTGAATAAAAGCTCATTCAATTCCAAATTCGAAATATACTAATTAAGTGCTTCACTAGAGAATATATCGCTTGAACGGACAATATACAAGTGACAATCTTAAGGAACCTTTTTCGTCACAGGTAGAAAAAATAGTGAGGCAAAGGTGGCGAGCACGCTTAAGTGAATAACGGACAAAGATATAAAAGTAGTTTAGTCTGGTTACAAATAATGTTTTTTTTAAATAGTCTGATCGGTAAGGCTAAGAAAAACCAAAAATTTAGGGCGAATTGAATTAGGGAATATAGAAATATGTACAAAGTTTGCACTCTTTTCATTGAATATAAAACTTCTTGGGCATCAAGTAAAAGTAAAGTGATATGTGACTTGAATAGAGTGACAAATATGCACTACAATACGGTCAGGTATGAGCAAAATAAAAGGAGGACTGTAGATGCTTGCGATAGAAAATGCGGATGTGAAATTGAACTGATTGTCACATTATGAGGCTAGAGAACAATTGAAGTTCAAGAACATAAAGGGTAACTGGCGAATGTGAAACCATGAAGGAATAGGGGAAAGAACTGCACCCTAACAGGAACACGAAGTTCTGATCGACGACCATGACAATGAGCTGCTATACCATAATACGATGATCAACCAGTCACAAATGCTGGTTTGAAGTTATATTATTATCACGAAAAGTAGGAGACAAAGTTTAGCCATTGACAGTAGTGAAACCATTGTTATATTCATGAAAACAAAGCGATGAAAAATTAGCAATTAGTGCCACAGGAGACAAGCAAAAGTCAGCACCCGATTTATTTCCCCTAAATTGACTGGTTTTCACCTCACGGAGTGCTTTTAGTGAATGTGTACTGAAGCGTACCTTTCAATTATCATAAAAAAACAGAACTGTAATCTATGAGGAGAAGTGCATCAGAATCCGTTTTGAGAATGTGATTAGGGCTCACCTGATGGCTATTTTTTTCAAGTAGTGAATCAATAAAAGCAGATTTAAATGGTTTGGTTCTTGTTCAGTATATGCAAATAATGACCTCGCATTTCCGTAGATTTGTCTGGATTATTGTTTAACCACCTTCCCCAGTTTGAGTTCCACCAGAAGAATTAAGGAACAGACTTGCGAAAATTGGGGGTTTGAGCCTTAGTTTAACACAGATCAGTGCTGATCAAGACTGAGATTCAAAATATTAACAGACAGACTATACACTGAAACTCTACCCAGTAATCGGAATCGCTCGCAAATCTGGATTACAATCAAAAAATCTGTGGAGCAAAAGTCAGATTACACGGGCCTCAGCAGCTGAACTCAATAGCATGTTTTCCACTTCAACTCGAACGGAATTATCAGAGCCGTATTTCCAATCAATTGTATGTCAGTTCTATTAAAGTACGCGTACAACTGATATGCCTTCCGACAACAAAAGCTTCCGGTCCCGAAGGACTATGTTCGGTCGTCCTCGGGGAATGCATGTAGTATCTAACTAAACCATTTAACAGTGTTTTGCATCGATGCTTTGAGGAGCGAAAAATTCCCGAATGCTGGAGACCTGCTCGCATAACACCAGTTCTAAAGAAATAAACCCGGAAGTTTCAACTAGTCACTTGCACTTAGGTATTACTATGGACTTTTAAACGGTCTGAGCTTAACAGCATTATACCTAAAACTGGGCGGTCACATCGCTTAGGGGAACGAATGTCATTGTGATGGAAGGTGTTACAAAGAGAGCCCCGGCTAGCGAACGAATCAAGAATAAGGCCCCTCCAACCAGATGCGCAGACTTAGCGGCTGGAAGTACTTCGCGAGACAATGTCGACTACCACTCGAAACGAACGAATTGACAATTACAGCCCAACAGACAATCCGCATCTAGCCAGAAAGAAATCCACCGAATACCATTAACGTATCTCGCGCCACTATCGGGTCAAACCAGTCGGAACGGCACGCGGAAGAAGAGGAAACGTATGTGCCAAGTGCGGACCAAAACCAACAGGGGGTGACTAACAGAATGAGGCATGAATGATCCTACCACGCGGTTAAGAATTGATTGTACATAATTGAACGCATACACCGGTTGTTTTTGAATTGGATCAATAAGCGTTTTCCCAGCCAACTCGCCTTCTCATTACCTTGGTTCTGTCGCCCAAGTCAGCACAACGCAATGAAGGTACCTTGACCGAACGCGTTTGCAGACGGAGATGTGGAGACGTGAATTCGCGATTTTGAAATAATCGCATCCTGCATGGCATCTGGTCCCCGCGTTGGGTGCACTGCTTTTCGGA